CCCTCCACGAAATCACCCTACAACGTTGACGCAGTGGGAAAGAAATATATTCAATCAACTTCAAATAATGAAAACTTGAGCCATCTGACTCGCCTACTGAAGGATGAGCTTTTAAAAATGCCGCCGCAAAAAAGAAAAATGCCAAGACAACAATATACTTGCTAGTCTCTCTGCCGACAATAACTTAATGACCTTATTCAGTAATATACTACTATTAATATTCGCGAAGCGCACGAATAATTTCTAACTGCCGAATGTTGAACTGCGACAAATATGTAAATTTTGTTGCCGAAGAACTTTGCCAGATTAAAATTTAAAATTGAATGTATGTTTTATTTAGACATGAGAAGAACAGCACACAAGGACGAAAACACAAAAAAGAACACCGAAAAAGACGCACTCAAGCGCCTTGTGTGTCTTACCCTAATTTATTTACTCGAAGTATACCCTCAATTTTCTCTCGGAAATGAACAAACAGCACACACACAAAATAAACATAAAGATCAAGAGCCCCATTTCAAGTGCACAAATGGAAACAAGAAAATCAAAATAAAATATCGAACTACGCTTACCTGCAGTTAACAGTGTTAAGAACTGTCACGAGACGAGTCCAAGGTAGCAGGCATCCAGTACCCTCGACGAAATCACCCTACAACGTTGCCGCAGGACGAAATAAATATATTCAATCAACTTCAAATAATGCAAACTTGAGTTATATCTAACTCGCCTACTGAATGATCAGTTTTAGAAATGCCTGATCACACGGAAAGAAAATGCCAAGACAATATAATTGCTAGTCTCGCTGCCGGTAACACCTTCATGACCTCATTCCGTAATATACTACTATCAATGTTTGTGAAGCGCACGAATAATTAGCTCAGACATTTATATTCGGTATTTCATAACGTGACATTTTGCCAAACTATTTATTAAACCTCGTTAAATTAAAAACAAACAAACAAAAACGTTGCTATTAAAAATCAGTGTTCAACACTGACTTTTACAAATATCAACGACGTTGAGAATTAATCGCGCCTGTTGGCCGGTGCCGCCAATGAATGCCTGATCGACTACTGCTCTGCGAAAAAAAAAAATACACCAACCACCTTATGAGATTTTCAAATATTTGATCAGATCCTCAATTTAACATCCGACGTGACACACCAACGGCCCCAAAAAGAGAAAACCTCCTACCCCCTCACGCCTTAAACCTAGGCGACCCCCGATTCAAAAGGCGTCTTGTCGCCCGGCCGCCCGGCTCGCCGAACCGCCGCTCTCCCCTTCCTCCACCCGCACACACATACACCGGGAAAAACTGCTGGTTACGCCGCTGGTTAGCGAATGTCAACCTTCTAAATATGCGCTAGCGCAAGCGACAGTCATTTCTGTTCTTGCTCTTTATGAATTTCGATGGTCTAAACCGTGTCTGCGTTCGCGCCACACACTAATTTTATCGAACGCTCGACGCCTTCAAACGTGCCAACATGTCCGCCAAGCCTTTGTCTAAGGAAGACGGAGGTCGCCTTCCCGGGCGGTCATAACCGACGCCAACTGCCGCCCGCGCAGAATATTTCCTTACCTGCATACGGTGCACACGACTTGGATCTTCGACTGAAGTCAATGCAGTGCTCTCAGTGACCTCGTAAGAAGAGACTGAGCCGAACAGAACAATAAGGAACGTTCCTGCGCAGGGACGCCTCCGTCGAACGTTCGAGAAGAAAGACCGTTATGCCGTTATGACCGGGACCGTCGGCGGGGAAGGCGCCGACGCTCCCGGTCGGCCCGGCGAGAGCTCTCCCACGCATGCGCGAAGAATGACGTGTCAAACGAGGAGACCAATTAGCGAACTGGTTTGCGCCTTTCCACAGCCAATCGCAGCGCCCAGGCTTTGGCAGTGCTCGAACACGTGCACCCTCTGGGAGGTAATATTTACCTCTTTGGTGCCCCCTCGAGGCGAACTTCGCCTGGTAGCACCGCATTCCTAGTGTCCGCTGCGCCTGAGGAGGTAACAAGCGGAGCGCTTCCCCCCTGGCCGGGAGGAGGGTGGTAAAGGTGGTCTGTTACCTCCTTTTGGTCCCTTTTTTTCTAAGAGTGTAGGGTAGTTGCATGTTGAAATGAACAGGTTGACGCTGCGCGTGATCATCTTCATCTTCTTCTCCTCTAGCTGCTCTTGGCATTATCGAGACTCTTCCTTGGTAATATTCTTAATCTGCTGCACATGGTGTCTTTCTGTGACATCGTTCTCCATCAGATCAAGAGGTTTTCATGCAAAACCGTAGCACTAGAGTTCCTGTATAGGCTCCCTACGGGAGCCAGAGTTGCGCGTTTGATTCCACGTGCCGCGTGCCGCCCTCGCCGCTATTCGCCGGGATCCGTTCACGTGAGGAGCCGTATCAAGGGTCGTGCAACAAAGTAGACGTTGCACGCTCCCCGGCGTACGTTCCCCGGCTTTTGAGCGCGCCGCGCGCATCAAACGCGCGGCGTTGCTATTCGCCGAATTCAGTCAGTTGAGGAGCTGTATCCACATGCCATGCATGAACGCGCAACTCTTGCTCCCGTAGGGAGCCTATACAGAATGCTACCTATCGGACTTTATTTGTTGTTAGGGTAATCGTTTTATCTTGATGCATTGCAAAAATCATGGATGAACACCCTTATCCGCTTAGTGCCAGTCTTCAACACTCGCATTCTCTACAGTGAAGCTAAACTTTAAAAGACTTACAGCAGAACACAATGAAGAACCAAGAAAAAACCGAGAATTACCAGGTGATCGCACGCCACTATGGTTTCGTCTTTTATGTGGGCAAAGCGTCAGGGCGAGACCTTTTTTCATGAATTCAGGTAACATGAAACCTCTCTCTGTTCAGTCCACAAGCTTGATATGATCTTGTTTCGCAACGTGAGTCTCTTGACGATCTTGTCAGGCAGCGTATCTTCAATGGAAGTAGCCGACCTTTACCGACGCCGCTGAAGAGCTGGGCTGACGAAGGGAAGGAAGCGGTGGGGCTCACTTGCTCCAATGGTGTGAATGTCTCCGAGGCCTGCCCGTTCGAGTTCCGGAAGATTACTCCAGGCAGAGAGCGCTCCTCACAGCCTTCATATCGAATAGTATGAAACATTGCTCGGAGGACGTGGAGCGAAAGCTCGCGCTGCAGAACCTAGGGATACTGGATGCAGTCCCCACCCCTGTCTGATTCGATCTGGATGAGCATCGTACCGGAACACTGCAGTACCGGCGTGGGGTCGTGTATCACTACTGCGTGATGCACGTTAAAGACCCCAGGCTAGCGGTTTTACTGCACTGGCTAAATTGCTCATCTACAGCTGGAAGACTCGTCGCTCGTTGAGGCAGACAGTGTTCTAGGTTGTGCACACAACCCAGTTTAGTATAAAAACCTCATTCTCAGTCACAAAAAGCGATGTCAAACAACCTGCGGAGATTAAAAAAAGAAAAAAAGAACAGCATCATTATTTGTTTTTAGGGAAATTCGAATTTTTGATGTACGGAACTAATTTCTTTTTTTTTTATACGCGCTACAGCGCTTTAGTCAATCATATCAAAATGCGCGCTTATAGCGAGTATTCACTGGTGGCCATAGCTGTCTGCGCGAATGCCGAGCGCGTGCTGATGGCGAGCTTCCACAGTTCTTTTGCAACGTGCATTCCGCACCATTAAGAGTGCCGGTCTTAGCAGCCTATTGATGTGAGGTCGTTCTGAGCACGCGCTCTAAACAGTACCCACAAATATGGCGTACAGTCAATACTCCCTATAGCGCTAGAGGCCACATGTTCTTATCTATTTCGAAATGATTATTTCGAATTAGATAAGCATTACAACTTGCCTACCTACTTCCTCAGAGCAGCTTTTCACTGTTCTAACACAAAACACAACCAAATCTATAAGTAGAAGCTGTATACGTAACTCGACGTAACACGACGTTTGCTTGGAAAACCACAGAAGCGACGAATTCGATGCCTGGGTTGAGAGAGCGCCTCCCCGCGGAGAGACACCGCCTCCTGCTCTTTTTACGCTTACGCCCTCCCCGCACACGAGTGGGACGGCCGGAGAAGCGTTCGCGCTCCTTCCGGATGTTGGAGGCGGTATGGTTTCGGTACTCTGGGAACATTCAGTGGCTCTCAAACCGATTTTACCTAAAAGACAAGTCATGCGCCTTCCCCCCTTCCCCGTTCCTTTCCATCACTCCTTTCCTCCCCCTCCCTCCTCCGACTAAATGTCACCACTAGTGGATCCGGGCAACGCCGCCTACCTTGCGTCACCATCGTCGACAGCACGTGTTGCAGCGTCCAACAACGAGCCTCGTCGACCCTCAGCGTGTTTGCCGCTTGAGGCGGGTTGGGGACTTACTCACTGTGACGTCATGGACGGACCTTCTGTTCTAAGTGGTGTTGGTCAAACCAGACGCTCTAATGGCAGCATTACCCAGCTTGTCCCCACTAGAAAAAAGCGAGCGTCTGCAAAAGCAGAGATGAAAGCGGGGAATTAGTTCTAGCAAAGTGGTCGTTGACGCCGCCTTATTACATTACGCCTTATTCACGCTAGCAATTGAACCACGTTCGCAAACCGCTTGCGAACGCGGTTTCTTAAGGATACAATACAATTTCACGCGCGTTCGAGGATGCAAGCGAGCGGATCCGCTTCCCGGTTGCAATTCGAACGCCAGTTTGTACGCACCTTTAGAGCAGTAATATTGGAGCTGTTCGAATTGTCACTCGATGCCTTTGACTTTTGAGTAGGGTTAATTACCTGTGCGGAGAAGGATAAAAAAAAATAAAAATATTTCCGCAGAAGGTGTTTTTTAAAAGGCAATGACGCCAAACCTTTTCTTAAAGCCTACACCAACAAAAAAAATTAAAGCAACTTTTTTTTTTTCCTCGCAGCTGCTCATTCCAATTATCGCCGTGATGTCCTCACGCTATATATAACGAAACATACAGGAAGGGGAGCATTGGTTACGACTTATAAAAACCTTTGTACCGTCGACAAAGATCTCAACATGTTCGTAGCATTCCTGTTCATACCCGTTGTGGCCGGGAACGTTTTTATGGAAAGCAGTTTTCGTCGTATTCCTGAAATAGCCGAAAGACAGCACGGGCCGAGAAAAACCTACATGCTATTTGACCCCTGCAGCACGAACAAACGTGAGGCCACTTTTTTCATCAATCCACGTAGACCGAACAATGTTTAGGGGGTATCACCTCGGGTGCAATGTACACTGGTCGACACCATGGAGTTTTCATAGACCGTTCCTACCCCCGCTACGCTCTCCGAACGAAGGCGTCACTATTGCGCATGCGCGGAACTAGCCTTGCCTTTCAGAGTCCCGGATCTCGATGCGGGTCTCCGGAGAACGTCGCGGGACAGCGGAAACGATCCACGAAAGCTCTCTACTTTTGGCGCGAACGCGATATCTACAATTTGCTTGAGTTTTATTTCGAAAGGTGACAGTCGAGCTCTAAATTTTGTGGGTTAGGTTAGATTCCGAAGTCAGCATTTTCCACCATCGTATTATTACTTCATTACAGCCTCTAGATTGTAAGATAAGTAGAGAAAAAATTAGGAATCGCATTTTATCTCTACGCGCACTGTGCCTTGATATACTGTCGTGAGCAAAAGTCTGGATAACACGGGAGCGCCGACCGAATTGCATCGCCGCGCTCCCTGACGACGCGGCGCCTGGTGCCGAGACCCGCGCAATGCGCACGCGCGTACTTTCTTATCTGCGGGCCCACTCGTTCGCTCGCTTCAACGTGATGCGCTCCTGAGCGATTAAATGGGCGCTAGGTGCCGCCCCGGGAACCAAGATGCCGAGAGCCTCGCTCACCGCTCCGGACGAGCTCGCGTGCTCCGTGGCACGCGCCGTTCGCGGATATCTTTCCCGCGACTCAGCGACCCGTTAAAAACTGTCGGTTCCCTCCATTCGTAATTTTTAAGCTTCCCCCTATATTTGCCCCGGCTACAATTAAGGCCACGGTCCCACTGAATGTGGCAGTTTGGGTACTTTTTGGCAGGTCATTACTCATCTCCTTTTAAATACTGTTTTGTGGGATTGATGTCATTCGAAAGGCAATGCAATCCTCTTTCATTTGATATTATGTGTGTGTTGGTTTTTACTGTTCATGCGCATTTGTAGCGTGGCGAATATGACGGCGCGGACCCTCACTTGCTCCCCTAGTTCATGTTTTATGAACGATCCATTAAAGATAACACGGTTCCAATATAGCAGTTTTGTTAAGATGATGTCGGAGCAGAATGTAACGATACACTTTTTTGATATTTGCAATACTTTGTTTTTTTTCATCCCTCCAAATATTGCCCTAAAATTGACATTTTTTAGCACAAATATGTTTTTAATGACAAGCGCTAGGACAATGAAATTAGCTACAGATGTAGTGCTTATAATTGGTAATATGCAGAAAAAAATTTAATGTTGTGTATGCTTTTTTTGTTTAGATATTTTATATCAAACGTAGCACTTTTTTGTGCTTCGAGTCATGGTACTTCAAATGCCACTGAGGAAATAATTAAACTATGATAAAATCTTTTAGAGCATTTAGAGCTACAATGGTTGCCCAAGAGGTGGACGATGGCTTTTTTTCATTTTCAAAGTCATAACGCTCCTGGAGCCCTTCAAACTTACCCGTTTTTGACGTATATCTTTTTTGACTTCAAACAGATTTATTGGCATCTAATAACATTTATTGTTTTGAATAGATAAACATTGTGATGTATTAAATTTTCACAATGATCTTGCTTTGGTTTTTTAATAGGTGTAGAGCTTAGCTAATTTTAAAACAATTAAAAACTGTTTGGGTGTTTTGTTGCGCTACCTGGCGGATGGCAGACAAACTGCTGATTTCTAATGTTCAAAAAATTTCCGAGGGCGGCGTTGGCGTCTGTATCATCATCAATCACCGTGTCTTTTTGCCTCCACATTTAAAAAAATATATTGGAAGATTTACTATCGATAAATGAATGGTTTAAGTACTGGGTCAGGTTAATAAATCTAAGACAAATAATTACACAAGCGTAGCGTGATATAATGTGTTCATTATTCGATATGATTGAAATCAATAAGCAATAAAGACGATGAGGAAAAGAATACACCCGAGTTCATGCCTATACTTCGTTTCAGCTTCGGTCCAGACGCAGCCAAAGCTACAAGCGCGAGCTCCGGGCTTTCAGCATCCCTGCCAAGCACGCGCGCTTGTGCAGTGCAACCACTGTTCTGGACCACATGCTCGCGTTTGTAGCATCGGCTGCGTCTGGACCGAAGCTGAAACGAAGTATAGAGTCACTAAATGAGCTTAAATTATCGGCACTCCGTTCCCCAGAATTGTTTTGGCCTCCGCCATTTTTCGGTCTTGTTCAGAGCAAACGCAACTGCCGATCGTCATGATCCAAAAGAACGACTTCATTAGATGCGGTGCTAGGAAGCTGATGCAATATTGCAATGCTCTGTCGCGGGTTGTTTAAACATTAGTGAGGGACGGAAAAGCGTTTCCTGTGATTTTAGATAAAGCTTCAGATAACTGGCAACCATGATTTTAAGCCGCAATATGTCCAAGTCTTTACTTTGAACCGTAGCTAGTTTACTACCACAAGCGGGAACAATGAGGAAGAGGCAGGTGTCAAAAGGTAGTGGCTTCTGGAATCCACGGGCTTACGTCATGGCCCCTCCAGGTATTACAAGCCTCTTGAACAAGGGCATGAATAGTGTCATTAAATAAGCTACGCTTCAGAGTAGCAAGACTTGGCCATATTGTGGCTTAAAATCATGGTTGCCAGTTATTTGAAGCTTTATCTGAAATCACAAGAAACGCTTTTCCGTCCTCCACTTAAACAGTTTGCGACAAAGGAAAGCAACATTACAAACACCGAATCTTATGCTGAGGATGTCGCACTTTTGAATCATGACGATCGGCAGTTGCGCCTGCTCTACACAAGCACAAAAATGGCGGCGTTCACAGCACTGTCGGGGAAGAGAGTGCCGATACTCTAAGCGCAGCTCATTTATTGGCTCTAGTTCCCGCGAAACTCCTTTTCCCTGACTGAAACTGAAAGTAAATATGAATAATACACCGTTCTTATAGCTTATTTATCCAAAGAAAAGAGGCGGCACGCTATGTTCTTAGTTAGTTAGATAGGCTGCAACACCGCATGCCTAGTTGTCTAAACTCTTTAGAGAAAAGGAACCTCGATATACACACCATTTGTAAAAAAACATTGAAAGAACACTTTTTCACACAGTGAATAATTGTGCAAAAATTTTGTTGTATTTGCTTTATGTCTTTCCTGTATAGAACTGTCGGAATACATGTTTTAGTATGCACGATGCCAGTATTAGTTTATATTTGATGTAAAATGATTACATGTATATTTTTCATAGTTTGAATTTCTGTGTATATGTCTTGTCAATTTTAAACTGTCGGTTTGGTTGTTTCTTATGCCAAGGTAGGGGCAGGAACCCCGTCAAGCTACTGTATTGTAGCTTTTTGTTCCTGCCCTGGCATTTTTTGTTCTACAAGGAATGTCAAATAAAGAATTTGAATTTGAATTTGAATTATTATGCGTCTAATTGCTAATTGTTGTGTGTATGTTTATACAGCCGGAAGTTAGTCTGCCTTAGTGGGCGTCTGGTGTCTCAGCTGTAGATGAGCAATTTAGCCAGTGCGGTACAACCGCAAACCTGGGGTTTTTAACGTGCACCACGCTGTACGGATACACGACCGCACGCCGGTGCGATGCTCTTCCAGATCGAAACGGGCAGGGCAAGGTGAGTTCTGCAGCGCGAGCTTTCGCTCCAAGTGCTCCGAGCTGGTGTGCGCTAGACCATGCACTCGGCCACCGAGTGCATGGTCTAACCCCCCGCCCTTGTGCGTCAAATTTATATACAGGTATAATAATTTGAAGATCGACGATGGACGTCGATCGTCTCGAGATAATGTAACGTAATAACATTATAAAAGTAATAAATTTGTTGAAGCACTGAACGACTCAATTTTTCAATTCTTGAATTGTAATATGGCGGTAGCCTATTGTACTTACTGTTGATGAAGAGCAATATGAGGTGTGGAGGTAATTATCAAATGATGAGGCTCTATAAGGACGACGACATTAGTGGGTGTCGAACCACAACGTACAGTGCCAGACTTGTTTCAAGTATCGTGTACCCAAAGACTTTCTTCACCCGCAACAGAATATGGTAGAATCAATCAGGATGCTGCTTTACAACTGTACGTGGAACAGGAAAACTGCGATATGCAAAGTGCGGCTTATTCGTTAATATGAGGGACGGATTTCTAGCAGCATACCCTGATTGACTAAATGGCCTCGTTGACATAAAGTGTCCCCGTTCCAAAAGATTCTTGAGGCATACTTAAACCGCAAAGGAGTATGAGGCGAAAAATAAGAAAAAGGAACCTGGTGTGAAAGGTCCAAATCACCACCATAGCTTTTACTATCAAATACAAGGGCAGTTACACAATACACAAAGAGAGTTTTTTTATTTAGTTATATTTACACTCAAGGGCATTGATATCCAACGTATTCAGAGGGATGACACCTTCTGGTCAACCCACAAAGAGCCTTTTCTACTCAAGTTTTACATGGAAGGCCCGACTTTCGCTGAAATTCCTCACGTAAACGAGTTGTCCGACCGAATTAACTGCCATTACTCCCAATCTGGGAATCTCTCAATCTTCGTTCGGCCATAGTATCATGAGATCGAGGGGTGTGGCTCTTCCTCCGCCGAATATTTCTTCGGCGGGTGTTTTTGCCGTGTAATATGAGACCGTCGCGTACTCCTGGAACAAGAACCTGGCGATTTTTCACTGAACTGCTTCATCCGTAAGCATCAAAGGGGCTTTTTTTCGTTTCGCAAACCATCTGTTCTGCTTGCCCGTTAGTTCCGGATGTATGGTGCACTAATGTGATGCCTGATGCCGTTTTTTTTTTTCTTTTTCAAAAACTTGTTTATTTTTATCGAAGCAAGATTTGGCGCGTTATCCGAGAAAAGTATTTTTGGTAGGGCAAAAGTAGGTAAAAGAGACCGTAGAACGTCAATGACGTGTTTGGACGTTGTGGCAGGCATCGTGCCACTTAGAGTACGCATCGACCATGACTCCGCAGATGCGGATAC